AACTGCACCTGGCCTTTGGGTCATAGTTTAAGTCCTCTGGGCTAAAGCATTACCGGGATTCTCACCACTCATCTAAGAAAGCCTGACGACAGAGTGAGTTACACATTGGGTGACTAACTGCAAGGTCGGCAGTTTGAATCCTCTGGCTGCTTCTTGGGAGAAAGATGAGCCTTTCTGCTCCCAAAGAGGCAGTTCTACTTTGTTCATAGAGCCGCTGTGTGTGAGTCAGTCAACTTGCTAACAGTGAGCACCACTCCCCTCTGTCACCCTCCACGTGCCTACTTTGCTGTTCTCCGCCTACTGACTAGCTTCCTCTGCATCTCTGGTTCTCACGTTGGAACATGGCTTCTTGAAAGCTCAGAGCTTCCAGCTCTATAATTCAGGCCACAGAAAGCTTTCTCTTTTTCCAGACTCAAATCCAAATCTTAGGGTAGGAATATTGTTTGACCTTCTTGGGTCAGGTGCTCACTCACAAACCCGTTCGCTGTGACCAGGGAGTTGAGTCTTGCTGTATGAACATGGTTGAGGGACACCACCCTACAACCTCTTGGGTCAGAGCAGGAGGAACTGGTTTCAGAAAAGGGCAAAGAGCTGGGTAGACAACCCGGTTGCATTCACTCAAACCTAGGTTTTCGGCATCAATTCCTACATGTTCCCTCTTACCCTTTCTGAAGCCAAACTGACTGTTCTCCTCACGTATGCTTTATGTTCTTACTCTGCATCTCCCAGGCTGCCCATGGACATACTTACGGTGCTTCCTAAAAGGTCACCTCTTCCTTCCTTCTTCTTTTTTCATTAGAAGATCGCTTTACTGGGGGCTCTTTCAGCTCTTACAACAACCCACACATCAATTATCAAGCATATTTGTACACATGTCGCCATCATTATTTTCTAAATATTTACTTTCTATTGAGCCCTTGGTATCAGCTCCCCTTTTCCCCCTCACTCCCTCGTGACCCTTTGATAAATAATAAATTATTATCATTTTCATGTCAACAGCGACCGCTGAACCCTTCCCCCACAGTTTGGGTTATTTGTCCCCTTGAGGGTGTGTGGTTATGTGTTGATCATTGCGGTCGGTTCCACCTTCCTCCCTTGCTCTCCCCACCTTCCCCTTACACTCTTGGTATTGCTACTCCTATTCCTGCTCCTGGATTCTGTGTGTCATGATCTCTTTTATATGTACCTGTGCACATGCTCTGGTCTAGCCTGCAGTGAAAGGCAGGACTGGGGTCATGATAGTGGGGGTGGGGGGGGGTGGAAGCCTCAAGGAATCTCGAGGAATGTTGTGTGTTCCATTGGTGCTATACTGAGCCCTGGTTGACTCATCCCTTCCTTGTGACCCTTCTGTGAGGGGATGGCCCATTGTCGACAGATGAGTTTTGGGTGTCTGCTCCAACCCCATAGTTCTCAACAATTTTTTGTTTGTTTGAGGTCTTCTGACACCTGTTTCCTGATCCCATTGACACCTCGTGATAGCACAGACTGTTATGCTTCTTCCATGTGGACTTGTTGCTTCTCAGCTAGATGGCTGCTTGTTAAAACTTCAAGCCTTTGAGACCCCAGATACTATATCTTTTGATAGCCAGGCACCATCAGCTTTCTTCACCACATTTGCTTGTGCACCCATTTTGTTTCCAGTGATTGTGTGGGGAGGGTGAGCATCACAGAATGCTAGGTTGTTAGAACAATGTGTTCTTGCACTGAGGGAGGGCTTGAACAGAGGCCCAAAGTCTGTTCGCTACCTCAGTGTATTGCCATATAAATATTTGTACATAGGCCAATACCTCTATTTTAATGAATTAATGTATTTACATGTGTACATACCTGTGCTTATACCTCTATCCACAGCTTTGCTTCCTAGAGCTTTCCTGTTTCCTTTCTCCTTCTCCACCATTACGCTTACCCTTTTTCCACCTGTTAGTAAGTCCTTCCAGCTAGATTGTTGATGCTCTGAAACCCCCAGGATCTCTAAGTCCTCCTCATTGTTGATTTTTTTTATTTTTATCAATTTATTGGGGCTCATACAATTCATCACAATACATAGATCAATTGTGTAAAGCACATCTATACATTTGTTGCCCTCATTATTCCCA